CTTTGCCAGCTACTGGTCTGATTTTGTTTGTGTTGGTGTAATTCTAATGTAGCTTCCTTGCACAGGGTAGTGGAGATGGTCTGTGGCAGCAGCAGACATACATCATTCACAAAGACAGAAAAGCTTCATCCTCTCTCCTCCAGAGTACCTAATAACTCTCTCCTCATTAAATAACTCTAACTGGCTTTGTTTGGGTCAAATGCCCACCCCTGGGACAATCACTGTGTCCAGGGGAATGAAGTCCTCTCATTGGTCATCTTTAGGCAAGGAAAGTGGGACCAGGCAACCATATAGTGGAAGCATGGCAGTTCTGGAAAGAACAGCATGCTCAGCAGAGATAAAAGGAATAGAAATCAATTTTTCATCATCACCAAGAACAAAACTCATAGGGAATCTTGATGTGAAAACACTTCCCTTTATTCAGCATTTTCACTCATTCTTCTTGGAATACATTCAGAGTCTAATTTTTTAATTTGAGAAATCAAGAAGGAATTAGATGCAGGTTGCAGTCATGGAATTTCCTGGAGAGTTGAGTTGGCCTCTCTCTTTTTTTCTTAGCCAGAGTTATAAAATTTCAATTACAAGCCTGAGGGTGTTGGTCGTTAACTGCCTCCTGGGAGGGGTGAGTACTTCCTTACATTGCCCTATAGTCTAGCTTGACACGGACAATTTAGGAAACAATGGAAGTCAAAGTGCCTGAGAGAAGATAACTGAGCTAACGTATAAAAGGCTCCATTTCCTTCATTCTCCATGTCCAGTCAATACCAGTCAGCCCACACCTGTTGCTCCTTTATCACACTCTCTGCCAGTCTTTCCAAGGGCAGTGCATATTACAGTTTACTTGAGCAGTGTTTTCAAAAGGGAAGTTACTTTCCATAACAGAAATATTTTACTCTTCATTACAACCCTTCTCCTTTCCTCTAGCTGTGAAACTGATTGAGGTTCTCAAAAAATTTCTACTCACAGCCTTGTGATTACTTTTATAAAAGAGAGAAAAATCAATAGGAGGAAATGGTTGGCCACAGAAAATATTCTTTCATTTTTGAATTTTCAAATAGTGGAGGAAGGGGAAGGTATGTGGAAGATGTTCAAGAAATAGGAAACAAGCAACATTATTTCCTAGTATATGACTACTCATGGTCCCCTTCCCATTGCTTCCCCAGCAGAGCACAGACATCAGGAGGTATATGAAAAAATGTGGGAGAGACATAAGGATTTAGATAGTAGGCTGGGAAAAAGAAAGGTGGGGAGAAGTAGAGAGGAGAAAACTTTGTAAGTTTCAAAGAGCTGGACAGAGCAGCAGTCACCCATGTGGAGGAGGGTGAGAGTGGCTGAGATAGGGGAGAGCAGATTTTTAAGGTATCTTAATTCCTCATTAGGCATATATGCTTCACTTATTTAATTACATGAGAAAATGGGTACAGATCTGAATTACTTTCTGTATCTGGCAAAGTCCAGGCAGAAAAACAGAAACCTCCGTATTTCAACAGAGGGAATTTCATACCAGGAATTTATTATATGGGTGATGGGCAAGTGGAGAATCCTAACATGGGTGCAGAGGCAACATAAAGATGAACAACTACAGGAAATGGTTACCACTTCCTTGGGGTTGGAGGCAAATTGGGAGGTGGTGGTATAACTCAAGTCCAGAAGCCAGGGCCATTTGGCAGAAGCTAGAGTTTACAGTGACAACAGCCAGCAGGAGCTCATGCTACAGAGGGAGAGGCTGACTGATGGGATCTGGAGCCTCAGTAGAAATGCAGCCAATTTTGAGATGCCACTTGAAGCAGAAATCTGGGGGAATAAACACTGTCCTTCTTTCCTTCTCCTCACCTTCCAGTTTAGCTGAACATACCAGAAGCCAGAATGCCAAGGAGCCTGGCAATACAATTCTCTCTGAAACACAGCAGAGCAAGGAGAGGGTGGGGAACAGATTTCAGAGCAAATGGCAAATAACTGGCACATATTTTGATTGTCTAACTACGTTTCTTTGAATTCATCTCTGTGTGGAATGGTACCATGAAATGGACTGCCTTTTATGTGGGTTACACATGATCCAAGAGGGAGAAGACCACAATTGAGTACCTTCCCTCAAATAATTAAAAGTGAAAAATAATATTAGTTTACTAATTGTCATAATTCTGTAGGCTGCCTCAAGTGGTTCATAGACAACAACCAAAAGAGCTCATGCCTTTCCTCTTTTTTCTTCTCATTGTCTTTTCCTTCTCTAATTTCTTCTTTTACCTCCCCGTTAACTATAGCTATTGTACAGCTACCCTATTAGTCAACTTCAATCTCTTAGTGGGGTTACCATCCTACACTTCTGTCTCTTTTGTGTCCTGACGTCTGAGTAGTGGTCAGGAAAAAAAGTGCTAAATCTGGCTTTTGTCATCTACCACATCTGATAAACCTTTGTTCTGACTCTGTTTACATACTTAGCCTCCAGGATGTCATATCTGCCTGGGAATCCAAAAATTTTGGTATAGTTATTATATTTTAATTTCCTATAGTTATATTTAGAGTGATTTTGGATGGAGTTGGCACAATCAGGCTGGGTTTTTTTCCTGGTATCATGGTTAAAAGTACAGCTGTGGGAGGGCCACCTCTTGAAATGATGGGGAGAAGTAGCAGTTGCGCTGAGGGACTTGTGTTTACACTTGTGTGGTTGTGGGGGCACCACCACTTCTGCTAGCTGCACTGACCCCGGCCCGTGGCCCCAGCCTAAGGCTACTGCTTCTGCCACTGCTGCTGCTCCTGCTGCCAGCCGGAGCCTGGCCACAACTATGGAAAGGAGCAGAGGTCTGGGTCACCTTGATAGAGAAGCAACTGGCTGCTGTGTACCACGCCTTGCTGGTTACGGAGCCCATTGCTGGAACAACTACCACCAAGGTAATAACCACCTATCCCATAGTCGGGTGGGTGTGAGACTGGACCCAAAGACCATGGAATGGCGTGGCACAGACACCTACCATATATCATGTGACTGGCCACTTGCCTTTCACATCCCCAGGAATGATGAAGCAGACACATTGGCCCAGGTGCCCTGGCTAGAAAGAAAGCCTGCCCTTGATGTGGCCCAATGGCTACGTCAGCATTTGTTGCATGTGAGGCAAAAGACAATGTGGGCCTGTCAGTGGGGCTTGCCATTGACCTTTGAAGAAGTCAGCCAAGCCCGGAAGGAGTGCCCTGCATGTTGTGCAGATCAGCAAACCACCAAGTGGGCCCTAGAGAGTCTCTTTGCAGCCTATGGCTGGTCACCAGTGTTTGAGAGCGATCAAGGCACCCACTTTATTAGACATGCGTTGCAAGGATGGGTACAGCAATTACGAATAAAATGGATGTGGCCCTGGACATTTTGACACATGGACCGGTGATGTCTGGCTCTTCTGGCACCTTGGGGGAAAGGCCTGAAAGCTGGCCTCCTGTGTATTACTGGAATAACAGCTGAATGGCCCCCAAAGGTCATGGTAGTGTAGGCAAAACGTCCAGGAGGTAAGAGCATCTTGCAGGAAGTTTTGTTTTATCTTTATGGCCAGTGCATGTACCTCCCGTAGCCCTATATATTGATGCATCTGTAACTCCCACAGGAAGGGGGGTGAAAGTCTGGTATACTAGACCAGGACGAGACCCCATTCCTGCCACTGTTCCATCACAAGACCGCTCTCTTGCGTGTATCCTACCTGATGGACAAGATTTGCCTATGTTGGTGTCATTAAAACATGTATCTTATTGCCCTTAAGGTTATTTTCTCCTACAGTCCTTGTATCTTCAATGTGCCCACTGACTGCAGCTGCCGCGTGATGATTGCTCTGAACCATCAGCTACTGCCTGCCTATGGAATGGATGAGCTATGGACTTAATCTGCATAAGACTTTGAACTAGCTGAATCCTCTGGCTTGAGGATTGTCATGATTTTATTGCTGTTGCTATTGTTATGTCATTAGTCTGGTCACAATGCTCCAGTTTTCTCACCCAGGGACCATTGCGGAAGAAGGGGAACGAGTAGATTATAAGGGAAGATTTCTGGAGGGGTGGCCTGTGTGCAAAATTGTAGCATTTCCAGAATATCTCGCCTGGCTTTGGTGCATTTGCATATCCTCAGGGGTGGAGAGAAGTTCATCTCCTTGTCAGTGGGTAATTACCTGGGCAACCGAGGGAGTATCTGAACCTGAGAGGTTAAGGGGAGGGGCTTGCTTGCTTGCTGGCTTCTTCCAGAGCAGAGGAGAAAGACGGCCCTGGACTGTAGTTTCTGAGCAATAAATGGGTTTTAAACTTTATTTCTCCTTTTGACTGATTTCGGTTTTTAGAGTATTTTGCCCTGGGATTTCCTCTCTCTGGACTTTCAATAGCCAAACTGCTTGGGCTTCAAATCCTAACTCCAGTATTTCCTTAATTGTATGATCTTTGTCAAACTGCTCTGGGTCTCAGTTTCCTCATCTGTAAAAGTAATCATAATAAGAGGACCTACTTTATAGGGGTTGTATTGTTAGACTCAAACAAATTTATATACTGAATTTATATATATATGTGTGTGTATGTGTGTATACAGATATGTCGACCTATATATACACATATGCGTATGTAGAAACACATCTTAGAGAATTTATAGCATGTAAACATCCTATAAATAGCAATCATCACTATTGTTACTATTTTTCTCAACAAGAGAGAAGAGTAAATGCTGCTCAAGCCTATCAAAAGGTATCACGCCTATTTAATATTTTTTTACCCAGCATGAAGTCATGGCTAGTTAGGTGACTCTTAAATAGCTACTTGATAACTGATTAGTCAAAAAGTTAATTAACTGTGTAAGATACATCCATGAATTGCACTATTTGTCTCAGTTGTAGAAACTGGTTTCATTTCCCACTATGTTGATTTGTGATTGGATCATTATGAACCCTTTTTCTGAAGTTTTTTTTTTATGGTTTAGAGATTTAAATTTGTTATGGAAACAAGCTTTTCAGTTGACCAATGATTAGCTAATTTCATATAATAGAAAAGGAAACAGATTGCCCCAAGGTTGCTGTTTTCATTTCCTCATGGGAAGAAGAAGCATAGCAGAAAAGAAAAGCAGTCGCAAGGCACTGAACCTCTGCCACCATGGGGAACTGGGCTGTGAATGAGGGGCTCTCCATCTTTGTCACTGTAAGTACCAATGAGAGAGAAATTATAAATTCTCTGACTTGTCTGGGTTCTCTTGAGAACTAAAATAGAGCAAAGCCTTTTGGTATTTGTTTGTTTGAGAAGTTATGTTGAAACTGAAGTACTATGTAACATACATCATCCTTTAAGAAGACTGAATCCATTCTTCCAAACTTATTAATGGAAAGAATATATCTGGAGGCTCACTTCACCTAGTTTATTTCTCGAGTTTTCAGGAGTACTAAATTAGCCAGCATTTCGCAGAGGAAGTAGGAGACGTTTCATACTAATAATCCCTGAATCTGAGTTGTTTATTAATGTTTACTCAGATGCAAATTTCTCTATGTTTCATGTGTTTATATACCTCTTAAAAATGGGCAATTGAAATTTTATACCATTTTCCAAATAACATGTGCAGGATTGGTTCATGTAAGGGAAATTGGCCTTTATTTCAGTAATTATACCAAAAGTCATTGAAGGTCTCATCTTTCATTTTTTAAAATGTACCTTCTTTTCTCTCAGGTAGAGAAGTTATTTATGAGACTTATAAAAATTCAAGGGAAGGAAATTGAAATAAGCTCTCTAGACTCATATATAGTGTATATATGATGTATATTACATATATAAAGCCATATAATCTACCTTGAGAAACAATTTTTGTAAGTAAAGATAAGGCTAATTTTCACATAGACATGTTAATTTCTTTAGTTTTTAACATAACAAAGATCAACAATGAAGATGGTGGTCTTAGCAAAGCAGTCATGGACAATTGGGAAGATAGAATGTGACTTATAATAGCCTTTCCAAATAGCCAATGAAAGTATTATACAGATGTTAAAAAAAATCATTTATGAATGCAACTTTTGAGAGAATTCGTCGTGAAGTAAATATTGAGTCTGAATTGTAGAGGTAGAGAGAAATTTGTGGCACAAATAAAATGAAAACAACAAATATTTTGTCACTAAAAGAAATGCTAAACCAACATCCTAATGCAATATAGAATTCTTCTGAGAGCTCAGAGCTGTTAACTTGATTTCTTATCACCGTTTTGAGAACAGATTACTCCTCTAGAAAACAAGTTCAAATTATACTTTTAGCTCCTACCAAGAAATTCCCTAGGAAATGACCTCCTTCTAAATGATACACTCATATACTGGAAAGTGAAGATACAGCTTAGAAAGCAAGAATAAGAATGATGAGGATAAGAAATGGAGAAGTTGTTTTAGTACCTTCTTTATAAAGAGAGACTATTGTCAAGCATCTATGGACATTTACTGGCTTTAAAGCACAGTTAAGACAAGATCACTATAGAGCAGAAGGCAGAGGACTGGGTATTGTCACTGTTTGATGCAGTCAGTGCTTGGGATGAAATGAGCATTCACAGTCTAGAAGAGTCTCTTTTCAAAAAATATCCCACGCTCCCCCATCTCCTCATTCATGCTCTATTTCCCCTCCATCAAAAGCAAAACTTACCAAATAGAATTAAAGCCTTGCTCTTTTGGTTGGTAAGACCTCCAGTAGCTGGAGTGGGATGCTGTGTGGTGGAGAGAGGTGACTGGCACATGGGAAAGTAGAACACAATGCCCTGCTGGTGTGAGGACAGTATAGTAGCATATTCCTTTCCCTTCTCTTTTTAAGAGTCACCTGCTATGATGTACCTATCTAAGATTAAGAAGAAAAGAGGAGGAGAAAGAAAGCAGTGGAGATAGACTGATAATAATTTGGCATACTGGCCAAATAAACAAACCCCCGGGGAACAACACAGGATGGAAGGTTAATTACAAAGTGTAGAGACACTGTTGTAGGGAAGAGGGGTAGAGCTGGCTCTAAGCTGGTTACACCCAGCTTTGTAACCAACTTTGCTGAAGGCTGGACTTGGGGAAGACCTGATCCTGGTCTGACTCCAATCTTGTGTGAAATCTACCTGTTGAAATGTGAAAACTTGACGCAATTATTTCTGTTTGTGCAGCTGGTATGGTTGGGGATAAACATCTTCCTCTTTGTCTACTACTATAAGGTTTATCTAGAGCCTCGATTCTATTACACACGAAGACTTCTTGGGGTAAGTTTAAGTTCCATCTCATGCACTATTGGCTGGCTTACATTTCTAATCAGAGATTCTTGTTGTGACCAACCCATACAGCATTATCAGCCTCACTCCCTCCATTGCAACCCCCTAGGCAAGAGTCTTTAGGCCTTCCAGTGTGGGACAAACAAAAGTGTGGCAGACTGTCGCAGCGGCGTCCCTTCCCTCCCAAGAACTACTGTGCCACTGTTTAGTTTAAAAGGAGAAATCTAATAACTGACTCTGTAATGGAAGGCCAGGTTGGAGAGATCCACCCAGGGGTGACACAGGTGGAACAAGTGGGACTTTCCATATTCTCTAAATCATCTGATTCCTACCCCTTTTGTACGCAGAGGGCCCTGCTCCTAGTGACACGTTATGAAATGATCTTCAGGAAACGAGCCTCCCCTTACATATGGAGCCTTTGAGGAACTTGCCCCAGGTTCACATTCATTGTAACCAGCTGACTTAACTTGGGTCTATTAGCATTCCTGGTTTCCTTGAACTGCGTGGCTCTTCCTCACAGATGAAAACAATTACGATTACAGCTGCCCCCAGAGGATATCATTTTTTAAAGCATACTGAAACCATGAATTCCTTACTTAATACTAATTGTAATATGAATTACAATTCATATATATAATTATACTACATTATTGAAGTTATTATAACTTATTCAGGTTGCTGAGAAGGATGATTTCCCTTTGCTTTCTGCATCCAAAATATACAACTTCTTCAGGTATTACAAAAAATAATTATAATGCCAAAGCATTATACCATGCCAACTTAAGTTGCTGTCGAAGTCAGTCTAAATGCTAAGAAAAATCTTTAAAAAGTCCCAGTTTCTATAATGAGCTCTAGTTAATGATACGTGTGCTTAAATATTTGGGGGGAAATGAAATGATGTCTGCAACTTTGAAATGTACGAAAATAAGATGTGTTGATGGATGTTTTCATAATAAAATATTGCAGTGGGGGGAAGGGCCAGATTAAAACAGAGGATCCCAGCAAACCCCAAAGGTAAACTATTGGCTCTGAAGGACCTTCCTTTCCAGATAACGTGATGTGTCTGGTGTATGGGCCTCATGCTGGCAACTCTGGAGAAGCCGGGTGGTGGGGGGTGGTGTTCTGTGCTCACAGAACTCACTCTGCTCCTTATCCTGTTTCTTCCAGGCAGCGCTGCCATTGGCCAGAGCCCCTGCAGCCTGTCTGAATTTCAACTGCATGCTGATTCTGCTGCCAGTCTGTAGAAATCTGCTCTCCTTCCTCAGGGGTTCCAGTGCGGTAAGAGCAAAAGTTTACAAAGTTTGAGTTCCTCAAAAGCTAAATGACCTTTCTTAGGAAAAGTAAATCAATTTATGAGCCAAGCCATGCCTGATTCTCTAGTTTATTTCCATATTATTTGTTGATGGAGCATCCTGGGACAACCATTTAAACTGGAACAGACATTTAAAAAAACCCACAACCAATCAACCTATACATCAACAATAGTAATAAAGCACTTGTGTATGCACACGCACATACACACACAGACATACGTAACACAATATATATGTATGTGGATATAAACAGGACTTTATGAGACTGACACGAAATTTGGGAATTAATCCTACAGTGACATGTTTTCTGAAAATTTTCAATCAGAGATAATCTCTTTTGTGGATAACATCCCAAGCAGATGAAATCAATGACCAATGAGTCACACTATAATGAATATGACTATGAGGTACTGGGTCCATGGAATTGAGGGGTTCAGAGCTTCCAAATTCCCAGGGCTCCTTTAACCCTCACTTCAGCAATTTAGTGAACCCCTAAAAGTACTATGTTAAAAGAACAAAAATGATGTAACATATAAAAGGTATATGAATTTCTTATTGATATTAATATAAAAATATAAGAAACAACAAACTACACATATACTCAAACAAAATGGTACAAAACAAAATATAATAGGTCCCATGCAACATTACAAATAAGCAGCTACAAGGAATCAAAGGAGGGGAAAATTATATAAGGAGGGGTAGGGGGTGGAGAAAGGCTTCTTAGAGAAGGTACATCGGGTATGGACATACAAGAATAAAATAAGTCTCTAGAAGATATAAATAAGAGAGAATGACATTCTACATGGAGAAGATGGCATGGGCAAAAGCACAGGAAATGGTGGGGAAATCGTATTCTTGAAAGTCACATACAAGCATGACTTCTGGTTTTTCTCTGAATTGGCTTGCCATTCCTGACCTCACCAAAGAGGGTAGCTGGGAAAAGTTAGGGATTGATATCCTGGTGGGACCCATTCTACTGGCTCATTGTGACTAGTAGCCTCTGTTGTTCCTTTTAATGAAATGTGTTTTATAATAGCTAGCTTTTAAAAAAAATACCTATTAAGTAGGGGTCATTTGTAGAGGAGAGCATTAAGCAATTTACTTTGATGGTAATGTAGGGACAGTAAAGGGAAGATGTCTGAGGTAAGGCTGGAGGGAGAACTGGAGCTTTGCTTGTAAACTAGGACCTTATATGTATAACAGAGGAGTTGATACTTAACTTGGCAATCACAGAATATTTGGGGGAAGGAAAGCGATCTAAGCTGTCAATAACAAGTAGAACTTGCCTTGAACTCTGCCTTGTTTTTTCTAGTCTTAGTAAATTCACATTGATCTGACAGAGAATTTATTTTCTTTAAGAACTGTACAACACTCAACTTGCTAATAAGTATTAGAGGCTACAGTTAACAGTTGACATTGATTACAAGGATTTCCAAATAATCTTAATTTAAGAAACCACAGAGGGAAAATTCCATTTGAAAGTTTTACTGATGAACCACCTGCAAAGTACAACATCTGGTATATTGTAGGTGCCCAATGAATATTTGCTAAATGAAGCTTATGTACTGTAGCTTTTCATTTTTAAGGAGACGTGGTTAATTTTTATTCTCCCCCTATCACCTGTTTGAATACTTTCTATTTAGAGGAAGTAAACCCTGAGAAACAGGCAGTGTTTTCACCATTTCACCAGGATGACCCATTAAGAAATCCTTGTTACCCCACAGGCCCAGATTGCACTGTCTTCGAGCTGCCAAGCCCCATGAGCGGCACATGTTGTAATAGCTGATTTTAGGCTTCCTGTGGCCCAGGAGGAAATGTTCTTGTGAGGGTCTTTAAAGACAGGGATGAAATGAGGCTGCCCTTCAAATTGCCAAGAAGCTCAGACCTGTAGCCAGAGGAATCTGTATGTCAAAGAATATATATTTTTTTAAATTAGCAGCAAGCAACATTGTTTTAGACAGGGCATGTCGCTCCTTCCAGTTTCCAAACCTGAAATGTGAATTTAGTAAATGAAACTTCTTTTTTGATTGGGATTAAAATGAGTAAGCATGCTGTGACTAATATTGGAAGTTATAATAGCTGCCACTTACTGAGTCTTCAAAGACCTCACCTCATGAAATCTGCCTATCAAGCCAGTTAGTGGGGATGAAATTAAATTGAAGTGTTCAGATTCAAACCCAGGTCATTGTGCACCCAGAGCCCACTCACTTTCCTAAGTGCCACCTGATCTCAAAACTGTCTTCTTGCAGAAAGTCCATCATGTATATGAATGTTTGAGCATGCTGAATAACCTAGGCTAGAAATGGCAGGGATGTTGTAACTTCAAGGATTTTACACGAACTGAACAGTCACAGAACTTCCTTTCAGTTTCTAGTAATCTTCATAATTTAGACTTTGCTTTATGTATAATCCTTCTGGTTACCTGGAGAAATAAAGCCCCAGGGTTGGTCCACCCCAGGAAAGGTAGGGGTTAAGGACTCTCAGCTTGCTTTGTTAAGAGAAATGGGGAAGAATGGGGCTCAGCATACTGAAATCCTCAAAGAAGTCTTACTAACCCAACTGGCCATGCAGAAACTAAGTTCTAACTGGTTGGAAGTCCTAGTCTTAAGATCAGAAAGAAACATGAAAGTGAGATAATGAACTCTGATCTGTAACTTTATATGGTCTGGGAGTCAGAAGACCTCAACATGGCTCTATCTCAGTAGTCTAGGGCCAGTCTCTTGAACTTCCTGTCTCATAGTTTCTTTTTTGTTTTTGTTTTTTCAGCTGAAAAGTAGGTGAGGTAAGGCAAATGTAAGAATGAATATGACATTCTAAAAGTATATTAATTGACTTGAGTTGCCAGTCAACAAATATTTGTTGAGTGCCAGCTATGTGCTAAGCACTGGGGACACAGTGAGTAAAGAGTAAGACATAGATAGGCCGTGAGCTCAAGGAGCTTAGAGTTTTATGGAGGAGATAGATAATAAACATGTAATTGCAAAATTTCAGTGCTATACAAATACAGTGGGGTTCTTCTTCCTCACACAGTCTGCTGCCACCAGGTTGGGATATTACTGTCAGCTTCTTCACCTGAGTTTTGTAGATTCAAGGCTTGCTCTCACTATTTCTCCCAAATTACATATAAATATCTAATTCAGATTCATTCATGGCATGTGTGGTGACACCAGGTGTACATAAAATAGAACTTTTAAGTTTCTGTGACACTAATATCACAAAAACTCATGTCATACCTCATTAAATATGTACTTCTCAGTTTCATTCCTCAATTAACAAAAAATTCTATCTTGCAGTTTGAAGGGAGTGTAGAAATTTGCTGAGATGACTCAAAACTCAACCTTGCAATTGAATGTTAGCTTACGGACATTGGGCAAAGCTCTAGATAACAGTAACAGAGAAATGTCCCTTCAGAAGTCAATGGCAAAAAGCAAAGAGGTAGTTCAGTGAGGAAGCTCTGGGCCATGATGACAGCTTGGGTAATTAGTAGGTGGCTGGCAATAATTCAGACATGACTCAAAAGAATAAAAATGGTGTCTGTGTGATGGAGAGGAACAAAAAAGTCCTGGGCAGTTACAGGCAGCAGAGTCCTTTCTTCCCACCTCACCAACCATCCGTCTTGCCTCCTTTTCAGGAAATGGTGAGGCTATTGTATCTGGAAGCACCGTATAAGCATGACTTGCAGCTTCTCTTTGGATTTTTTTTTTTTTTTTTGCCATTCTGATCACACCATAGAGGGTAGTTAGGAAAAATTAGGGATTGGTGCCATGGTAGAACCCATTCCACTGGCCCATTAGTGTCTAATAGTCTCTGTTTTTCCTTTTAATCAATTGTTTCATATTAATAGGCTTCACAAAAAATGACCTGTAAATATCCAATAGACTATTACAGAATGGACCTTATATATTTCCCAAGCACATCTCTCTATTGTTCTGGCATTCAATTAATTTTTCTCAGTCTGTTGCTTAAGCTGATAAGGGGCACTGAAATCTATTATTTCATATTTTTAATGATCCATGCTGCTGATGATAAAGGTAGAACTATGGAGACAGTGTAGAGACCACAGCAAAACCACATTCCTTTTCTTCAGATTCAGCATGCAGGAGCTGGTGTTTCATCCTCCAAAAGTTTCAAAACAATTTGTCAGGAAGTAGAAAAGAAAAGTGGGGCAAGTATACATATGCGGGCAAATACGTCTCTATAGGTTTAGAATAATCATCTTAGGTTCTAGGACAGTGAAAATGTAATTCATTTATCCAAATTATTATTAAAGGATTTTTAAATATGCATGCTATATTGTTGTGCATACAGGATGCTTACCTTTTAACTGGGGAGCCAAGCCATGCTACCTGAAAAGTTTAATAATGATACAAAAAGCATCAAATATTTATTAAACACCACTCAATGAATCTATGAAACATCCCTATGAGGGAAGAGCTATAATAATTATATAGGTGAGAAAGCTAGAAACTGAGCATATTGTTAAATGTCACATAGCTAGGTGGTAGGACTGGGATCCAACACACAATTCTTTGAAATGTAATTCAGTACTGCTTTCTGACTTTAGTAATTCCAGTTCACTGATTCTTAGGACTCCTTGCATTTCATCACTCCAGCAAAAAGTGTAGTAATTATCTATTGCTGTGTAACAAATTTCCACAAACTCAGTGGCTCAAAACAATCCCAACTGATTAGCTCACAGTTCTGCAGGTCAGAAGTCCAGCATCCTGTGATTGGGTTCTCTACTGAGGGTATCATAAAGCTGAAATCAAGGTGTCACTGGAGCTGAATTCTCATGGACATTCTGGGTAAAAATCCAAGCTCATTCTTGTTGGAGAACTGAGGTTCCTGTCTCATTGCTGGTGGGCGTCCAGGGGCAGCTGTCAGATTTCAGATGTCCCCGTATTCCTTGCCATGTGGCTTCCTCTGTCTTCAAGCCCAGTAACAGTGCCTCAAATGCTTCTCATACCTTGAAAATTTGACCTTTTCCATCTCTTTCTTTTAGAACCAAATTTAAAGGGCTCATGTTATTGGGTTCAGGCTCACCCATATAACCTCTGTCTTAAAGTCAGTTTGGAACATCAATTTCCTCTGCAAAGTCCCTTTGCCATAGAATGTAACAAAATCATGGGCATGATATCCCAGCATATTCACAGCTCAGGTCCCACCCACACTCAAAGGGAGGAGACTATATAAGGTCATTGGGGATCATCTTATAATTCTGCCTACCACAAGGACTCTAAGAAACTAGAAAAACCTAGCAGTTGAGAAACACAAAAAAGATATTTCTTTTAAATTGTAAAGAATACAAAGTAGTAAAACAATCTATAGAACTTGAACACAAAAGACAAGGCTGTATAAGAAAAGAACAGTCAATTTTCACCAACAGAAATATAAAATAAGTGATTTCAAACAGGAAACACTTGCTTTGAGAGACTGAGTCACTGCTCAGCTCCACTAGTGGACACTTAGTTATAGCTGATGCTGTTGGTGTTCTACCCATATTCCCTCCACACTGATAGTTCTAATGCATGGGGCAGCTGCCTTCTCCAAGCCCCAGTCAGTCTCTGCCTAAGAATTATGTTTCAGCCCTCTCCGGGGCAAGCCTGAAATGCTAGGGAACTGATGTCCTGGGAACAGATCCTCAGCTAGTGATGGATGGGAGTTGTTGGACACCCAAGCTACTTAACCCCTTGAATAAAGAACAGAAAACAAAATTCTAGGGTGTATTCTGCACAGTCTCCCAGAGTTCCTGATCAGAGAGCTCTATAATATGCTTTGCTAGGAGTGGCTGACACCCTAACACACCCTTTAGAGGTTTCCTTCCTTCCCAGTCTTCCTTACCCCAACCTTGTTTCCTGTGACCACTTTCTAGATGCAGCACTTACACTTAAATTCTTGTCTTGAATTTTTTTTAGATAGGTAGAATAATAGTGAATTTATCTTTACATTTGGTTTGGTGGGAAAGGGCATGGACCTTAATAACAAATAGACTGGGATCCCAGCCAATGTGAGATTCAGCTTTAGTTTCCTTATCTGTAAAATGAGGACAGTAATCCTTATCTCGTTGCATTAAATGAGATCAATTATGGGTAAACTGAATGGCTCACATAAGGGACCCAGTGAAGCCTGATTCCTTTTTTCCTTTTTCTGGACTCCTCAGTGTCTTCCTTAATAGTATTTCTGCAGTTTCAGCAATCTGCTGTTCTGCTCCAAGCAGCCTTCACTCTCTAGATGTAGCTAACTGAAAGATAGTAGTGTGAGCACAATTTTCCATACAAGTATATTTTTTCTATAAAATCAGAACATTTTATTAAAAATAAGCCAAATATTAAACATCCCTATATTTAAATTGAATATGTTTTAAACCAGGTATTTATAATACTTAAGATTTTTTTGGCATCTCACTCTGCTTTCCTTAAAAGTTCTCTGTCTCTCTATGGCAATCTATTTAGACTTGAGAGCACAGCAGCCAGAACAAGCATTTGACCAGTTTTCAGGAGCACACAGCTTTGATTCAACCATAAACCAGGTTTTTTTTTTCTACTTGGGGCATTGACCTGAATCAAGATTCAAACCCGTATCTTATAACATGTGTTGGTAAGACAGTTACACTGAAGTATTGACCAAAATTCTGTTTTTAAACTCAAGGAAATCATATAAGGTCTGAAATATCAGAATATTGATACCTGTGGCATCAAATAACCTGGGTTTAAATCCCAGCTCTGCCACTTACTAACTCTGTGACCCAAGACTAGGTAAGCTCGCTATGCCCTTTTTCCTCATGTGTTACGTAGTAATAATCACGGTACCTCCCTGATGGGATTGATGTAAGGGTGAAATGAGTCAGTACATGTACAACACTTCAATAGCTACTCACACAAGTTGTTTGTAAATATTAGCTGTTGTTATTTTTGCTATTATTTTTTGGTTAATGGTCTGCCCTTGTGATGCTGTCTCTGTCAATCCAGGCAGGTGGAGAGTATTTTCTCCTCCCATACTATATGTCTTAGAAGCATGTTGTTCTAAAACTATTCACTTGTTCTAGAACTGTTCACTTGTCTGTGTCCCCATTATACTGTCAGATCTTTGAGGACAGGCCAGTCCTTTATTAATTTCTATATCCTATATTTACTGAATAAATTAATCTCAACTAGAAACTGTGTGGTTAGATATGTTTTCTGTGCAAATTCATATTTTATACAATTAAGCAGTGGATTCCCAGGAGACACTTTTATGTCACTGACATGAGAATGTAAAACATAATGGTCAAGTCAGCTATGCCACTCACAGGCTGTTTGACCTTAGGAAGATGACAACATCTATCTAAGCCTCAGTTTTCTCGTCTATCGACTGGGTAGAATGATATAGTTTTGAAGGTGGTTGTGAGAATTAAATGAGATGATATGTATCTAAGGCCTGGCCCAAAGAAACTTTCTAGCTAATAATTACTATTTCATTGTTTCCCCCTTAACTCAAAGTGCTGCTCAACAAGAATTCGAAGACAATTGGACAGAAACCTTACCTTTCATAAAATGGTGGCATGGATGATTGCACTTCACAGTGGTAAGTTTATTAAGAAATTTAAGATTACAAAGAAAACTTGGAACCAGAGAGTTCCCTCTATTCTTAGACACTTTTTATAAAAATAAGAGATCAGCATTTATAGTTAGATTAGGTTGATATGTTGTATTTATGTCCATCAGTTTATATCAGCTCAATGAAATTTTGTCATCTCTCTCTCTAGAGTAAGTCAGAGTCAGTTGAATAACAGCCAAAGGCATACATTAGATGAGAGTCTTCTTGTTTGAGCACAAATATATCAGGGGAGAAAGACAGTGAGAGCACATCTAAGTATGCTCAGAGACCAAGGTTATTTTGTAAGATCTTAGGACCTGGTTGGGTCTTTGGGATCATGTAGTTCAATACCATCATTTTACAAATGAAAAACTGAGACTGTAAGAAGTTAAGTGATTTATCTATGATCACACAGTTAATGAAAGCTTACACACTAGACTTGCCTTGCTTCTGTAATCTGGGAGACCTAGTTCTTGTTTATAAGTGTCCTGGGCAATCCTCGTGTGTCCCTATAACTTATCATAGAGTCAGTGGCTATAGGTAGATACCTAGCTTACAATAGAATTTGCACACTCTTCATCCTCTTTGTTTCTCTTCTCTGCCCTGTTCAGCAATTCACACCATTGCACATCTATTTAATGTGGAGTTCTGTGTGAATGCCCGAGTCAACAATTCTGATCCTTATTCAGTAGCACTCTCTGAACTTGGAGACCATGAAAATGAAAGTTACCTCAATTTTGCTCGAGACAAAATCAAGGTAAGCATCTTATTTTCTCATTCAGATGTTCTCTAGGCCCTTAAATCTGAGGAGTAGATTTCAGTGAATGAAAAACAGAACAACAGCAATGATAAAAGTTAACTATCAGAGGAATAAGTCCTTAAGTTCTAAGAATGTGGGTGCAGAGAAAATGTCACCCATACTCCTGATCTTGTGTGTGAAGTGTCTCTATATGTTTCCCAGTTCCTTAAGCTTACCTGTGGAAGCTGGAGTAACTCAGGCCCACCTATGACAATGCCCACCAGTCAAGAAACACAGGAACACACATCTAGTTGAGCAAAGTTGAGTTATGATTTACTGCAGCGAAATAGACCTCACAGCATGAGAAAGTCTGAGGCATCTCAGGAGAGTGTTAAGAGAGGCTCATCCTAGGAACATAGGATTGTGTTAAATGATTTTGGAAGAGTTTAAGGAAGCAAGGATTTGCTGTGGATCATGTATGGTCAGGAACTAGGGGTAGTTCTAGAATTGGGTATCTTAATAGTTTTTTTCTAGAAGGCAGAAGGAATAGAATGGGGCCAAATCTATAATAGATAAAGAAGCAGCAGTCACTTATGTTTTTGTCTTGGCAGTACAGAATCACCATGTCTGATGTCAGTGTTCTATGAAATTATTTGTGTGAAGTAGGCAACACCCTGGCCTAGTTGTTAATACAGCTGTCAGGGATGCTTTTCTTCTTTCTTGCCTACATCTGAAAGGTAGCCTATGTCTGCTCATTGTCGTTCCTTCAGAAGCACAGTGCACTGGGGGGCACTCAGTGGTTCTTCAGGGGCAGCCATTTGGGGTATCCACAGGCAAGGACTTCTTCCCTTCTAACAGCAGTTGATGCTTCCTGTACTTGGGGGAAGAACTCCAGGTCATCTGTATGCATCCAGTGGCTTGGGATGATGGCCAAATTACATTACTATACAGCAAATTCCAAAACATGTTTCATTGTGTTTTGAAAACATTCCAAGAGAAGTCCCTTAATTTTGCAGAAATGAGTATCCTCAGGCCTACATGAAAATACTTGCATCAAACACAGCAAATTCTTTTTCAGTAATGTTTGGGATAGTTTTTCTTTCAAACTGTTTATTTAATGATGTATAAGGGTGGCAATGTGAACACACTAGGTGAGCCAACACTGTCAGTCTCCGCCTAGATCTCTTGGCACTGCTTTTCCTGTGTCTGCGCTCCCCACCCTTTGCTTTCACTTTCAATTTCCTGTACTTGCATTTCTTCCTCAGAGGACCACCCTGTGGCTGTGGGAGTCCCTTTGCCCACAAGCTCAGAGATCTGGAAGGTCCAGAACGGCTACCTCTCCCTGGGCAACCTTTAGCTAATCACTGATGGGTGTGGGGTATGAAAGCTGAGCTTCATTGCTTTGAGTTAGGATCATCTCTGAGGTGTGACTTACCTTCCACAGTTTCCCTGCAGTACTAGGCTGAAGCTTCCTGTGTTAAAACTTGGCTTGAGATCACTTTCTTGCTTGACTTGTTCCTCTTGCTTGTGCTATTAACCATTCCCTTACTAGTTTCTTCCAGAGCATTTCTTTTCTAAATCACTTGCCCATGAATCCTCATCTCAGGATCTGCTTTGGAGGAACCCAGCCTAAGATGTTAGACATGTCCAGAATACATTTGCAAACTAAGCACTGTGGCCTTTTCCAAATCAAAGAGAGAAAGAGCTTCAGACCCTTTTAGGACATCTTATGGTTGACTGATTTCCTTTATCTGATATTCCCTTTGAACTATTCCAATGTATCAGTTCATATTTCCTATGACACCCAACCACTTAAAAGTTGGTTCAATTGAAAAATATCTATTCCAGGTCTATATCACTCTATGAGAGATGGTTAGGATTATCTGAAGGAAGAATGAAAATGCCTGTTGCTCTATATACCAGACAATTTATTAGTAGATAGTTCTGCATTTGAGAACTGACAAACCTGTTTGTGTGCCTCTGTGTGTGCATGTGTGTGTGTATTTTACAGAATCCTGAAGGAGGCCTGTATGTGGCTGTGACTCGGTTGGCAGGCATCACTGGAATTGTCATCACGCTGTGTCTCATATTAATTATCACATCATCCACCAAAACCATCCGGAGGTCTTACTTTGAAGTGTTTTGGTACACACACCATCTTTTTGTGATCTTCTTCATCGGTCTTGCCATCCATGGAGCTGAGTGAGTGTTTAGACTCTAAAGCCAAGTACTTTATGTCCCTCAGTTTCCAGGTGTGATGCTCTGTTAGAAGCAGAGTGACCTCCTTGTCCGTGTGTGGCCAGCCTACCTGCTGATGGGATATGAGGGGACAACAGAGGTCAGTTTGGTAGAAACCACCCAGCAGCACTTTAGTTTCTTGTACTTGATTAATAGCTATTCATAGTGCAGTTATTTATAGCAAACTTGAAAATACACATTTGAGTGTGTTTGCAAGTGTATAAAACATGTTGGACAGTGGTGTTAGCGTGTTAGATGCCTGCAGTGATGCTTCCTGTGGCTTAATCGCTGGTAAATTAGACAAACTCCCAGGCTAGAGGGGTTAATGATCAAGTGAAAAGGTTTGCTGTAGTTCAATGAGTTTTGATTCAAGCCAATCATTTATTGATTGCCTTCTGTGTATGAGGACGGATCTCAGGCACTATGGATCCACCGTTATTGCCTTCGATCACTCTAATATAATAAAGGTATGAGTTAAATTCTATTGAGTACTTCTTACCAACACTTAATGTTCCTTTTATCCTCCAAAAGGTAGAGATGTTCTTACTAGCCCCATTTTCTGGGGGCATTATAGGCAAAGAAACAGACTAAGAAAGGTAAGATATGTAGCTCCAGCCTCCAGTCTGTAAGTGGCATAGCTGGGATTGGAGCCCAGGTGGTCCACGGCAGGCCAAGATAATGCTATCATAGAGACACACGGGCCTGGATGTCCAAGACCTGAGGGTGGAAAGGGGAGTGTGGGGAGAAGCAGCATCAGGCAACTACTTGTATGCATTCTCCATCAACTGGCTTCCTCTGATCTGTGATTAACAATTTCAAAACACTGAAATATCTGTGCAAAGAATCTCTTGACTCTCCTAAAGCAAGAGTATCTTCAAATGGGACTTAGTCATAATGCAGGTATTTGAGAGAATCCTGGAGAAAAAAAATTAATCTCTTCTCCTCTCTAGCTTGGTAACTCTACCACTTTCTGTTCATACAGTTTCATAGACATGCATTTTCCTTGGAAGCACTCAGAGGAGCTGTATTTATGCCATTTGAGGAGAATCTGCTATTTACACGGTTTGGCTGAGTGCTCACAGTCCCATAGCTAGGTAGCAGCTGAACTGGGATTAAAGCCAAGTGTTCTTACTTCTGGTCCTCACATTGAGAAGAGGAGGAAATCAGATTTTTTTTCCTATCACTTATTCCTTATGTAAACTTGGGCATTAGGAACTTCACTAGTTATCATTTGTTGGAACCTTTACTTTGTGTCTGGCATTTTTTATGCATCACGCCAAATGTTCACTAAAATAAGCCTTTAATGAGGTGCTATTAGCCTATTTTACAGCTGAAGAAACTGAGGCTAAAAGAAATGAAATAACTTGCTTAAGGCCACAAAACTAGTAAGAGGTGGCCCTGGGATTTCTCGTCCAGACTTGTTTTTACCAAATCATCCTGCCTCTAGTTAACTAGTCTCTCTGAGCCTCGGGGTCCTCACATGTACAATAGGAGTACTAATACTTGTCTTTCTGGCCTATTATGAAGATTAACTGAGGTAAGTTGTGTACAGTGTCTTTCCCTAGGCCTGGCACAGAATAGATGCTCAGTACATCTTGATTCTCTTCCCCAAGACCTAGCGATAAAAAGGGATGGTTAGTGACCTTGAACTGAAACATGCTCAGAATATACCATGTGGCACAATAAATTTTAGGTTCCCCAAACAAACTTTTACAAAGGGCCTTATGTGTCTCTTTATATATTATGAAGATTGTACCATTGATCTTCTCTGAGGTCAGGGACATGACTTAACTCAACTTTGTGCCTCCATCCTTCTGTTCACACTCAGTCAAGATTGTCTTATGTGTTAGTAGTTGCTTAATTAATATGTATTGAATTGTAGTGAATGGGCTCTGAGCACTTCAAGGGACACACCATTAGTGTTGATATCTGTGACAATGTCATCATCTCCACAAACTCTTCTTAAGTTAATTTGAACCTTTTGGTTTAATTAAGACAGTTTTGAAACAACAAACAAAACATTGTACTAAGCCTCTGGCCTGCTGTGTATAATTGTACAGGTTGTTAACTACATAAGGGTGCCTGGCCAAGGGGAATACAATTAGCTCTTCCGGCCAAGCTCTTTGCCTGTATGACTGTTGTCACAGAGGGGCCATCTTGTTCTAATCTGCACAAAGGCAGTGTATGGGCTAGAGGTTCCTCTGTTGGATTTGCAGCTTTCTGGTTTTGTTCATTCGTAAATGAAAATAATACTCAAAACAGAAGCACAAATGCTCCCTTTAAGAAAACATGTACATATAAATATTCTTTGTGCCACTATATACTTTTTTCCAATTGCTGAAGATTACATATTTTCTTTCCCTTCTAGTCAGTTTGGAGGGGGCAATAAGTTATAACTTTTAGGTGAAAAGTACAGGACCCATATTAGAGTACTTAAAATATGCCCAGAATCTCAAAAACCTAAGAGCTTAATTTCTTTCTACTAAATGGTCTGAACTTAATTCCCTCCTTAGGCGAATTGTACGTGGGCAGACTGCAGATAGTTTGAATCATCATGACCCAGAAAACTGTAAAGACAAAATCGCACAATGGGGAAAAATAGAAAATTGCACAATCCCACAGTTCTCTGGGAACCCTCCTATGGTATGTACATTTCATTGTTCCTATTACAGTTTCATTACCAACAGACTTCTAATTGTGTCTAAGAAATACACACAAATGTCGTAGAGCTGTGCATTAGGAATTTCACGGAACTGCATGAATATTCTAAGTATCTACTGTTTTCCTGCTATACTTATTGTCTGAAATTATTTATTGAAAAGTAAGCTCTGCATTGGTCTGTTATGAACGTTCTGATATAAAGCTTGGAAAAGCACTGTTTTTTTAAAGTGCTGTTTGGGTTCAAGAAGTTTCATCTCTTCTGGATGGGAGGACCACAGTAATACCAGTTAATGATTTTCAGAGTGACTCCATCTTGAGCTGAGTTGGAGAGCTCAGATAATCAATTATAAGGAGCTAGGAGCCTCTGCAGATACCAGGAAGTAAGACTTCCTTTTTAAAAAAATTTTTATTGAAGTGTAGTTGGCATTACAATATAACACTAGTTTTTGGTGTATGACATAGTGATTTCACATATATATATACATTACTAAATATTCACCACAATAAGTAGCGTTATCATCTGTCACCATACAAAGCCATTACAATGTTATGGACTATATTTCCATGCTATGCTTTTCATCTCCTAGATTTATTTATTTAATAGCTGGAAGTTTGTACCTCTTATTCCCTTTCACCTATTTTACCTATGCCCCCAACCGCCTCCCATCTGACAACCATCTGTTTGTTCTTTGTATTTATGAGTCTGTTTCTGAGTTTTTATTACTTGGTTGTTTACTTGTTGTGTTTTTTAGATTCCACATTCAAGTGAAATCATTTGATATTTGTCTTTCTCTGCCTCACTTATTTCACTTAACATAATATCCTCTAGTTCTATCTATGTTGTTGCAAATGGCAGGATTTCATTCTTTTTCATGGTTCAGGAATATTCCATTGTGAATATGTACCACATCTTCTTTATCCCTTCATCTATTGACGGACATTTGGGCTGCTTCCATATCTTGGCTATTGTAAATAATGGTGGCAATAAACATAGAGGTGCATATATCTTTTTTAATCTTTTCATTTTCTTCAGGTGACTTCCTATACAGCTTTCAGACTTGGGAAGGAAACTGTTGAGCTGACACATAGGTCTGCCTTTAGGCATTGGGAGGTCCTATCTTTGACCTATAAAGGAGGCTGGACAACCAGATTCATACCAACACCCAAGGGTAGCACATGGTACAGCAGGAGCATGGCAAGGATGTCTGATGCGAAACATGCTGAAATGTTTACCTTTTATTGGGAGCTACCTCTGTTTTGTCTATTCTCAATATCTCTGCTCTGTAGAGTGAGAAGTGGGCCCTGTAATCTTCATATCTTTTCCCCCTTTGGCAAGCAATGTACTTTATTGAGTAGCATGCCAACTGTTGGTATAAAACTAGACAAAAGTCAACATTTGTACAGGGCTTCTGAGCAAGATTATTATTTTTTCCTTAAGCACATTATAATATAAAGACAAATTTCCCACCCCATTTTCTTTTTTTCCCCTACTCTCCTAACATAGGAATACTCTTCCTCTAGACACAGCACACTGTCTGGGGACTTAACATCTTTAAGCATCCTTGCTTATTAATAAAAGCAATCAACTCATCAGTGAACTGCCTCCACTACATGCAGACATCAATAAAAAGGATAAAAAGGGAACTGAATGCAGGCCCTCTTATGGGCTAGGAGAAGGCACATTTCCTTGAACACAGCTGGAGTCAGAGTACTGCTACCCTAACAGGCATCTACCTCAAAGAATTTTCAGGGTTTCTGAGAATATTAATGATAATGTCCAAGACTTGGCTCCATTCAATGGGGCCCCACTGTGGCACCCAGGAAATAGATGGATGATGCCACACTGTTTTAAAACCCTGTTGCATGAAAACAAAAGCCAGTAGCAAAACATCTCCGACTTCTGGGGTAGATATTCTTCAACTTTGCTGGATTTAGGTGCTCTCAGCTTCCAACAGTAAGTTTCTTTTAAAAATGTAACAAAAAAAAAAGTAACAGAAAGATCATATGTGAGACTATGGGAAGTACCCTGATTTTTTTTTTCCTTCTTCGAATCCATTTTTATCATCTTTTAGATGATACTGCCTTCTAAAATTCTTTGCTACTTCAGGTATTAAGCTAGGAACCTAACTATCTGTGTCACAGTATGAATCTGTTTGGCCTAATTGTTTTTATATATAGCCAATGACTCTCCAGGACAATTCTAGTGTTCTGAAACACAGCATATTCTGACAAGAGGGGAATCTAGAGAAGTCTAAAAATGTTTCGGTTTCTACTTAGTAAGTGCATTGCACAGCTCCTAGAACTTACCAGGATGTTAGAGAAACAGCCAAGTTCTTGCGAGAAATTTCTCATCTTGCAAAAGATTACGCTTTGGCTACATGGCCAAGGGAAAGCAGTTGTAATGTTACATTAAAAATACGGTTGTTGAAATGCTATCCTCTGGAGAAATGTTAATTCTGAAACTAACCTTGCTCTGCTGTGGAGTTATTTGCAACTGCTGTTGCAACACTAGGAGGAAATCCCATTTTTGTGGGCAGTTCCTCTTGGGAAAGTTTCATACTGTAGATATAGTTCCCCAATATGGCCAAACAGAATGTTCATTTTTACTGGCTCAAAATTTATTTTAATTTTAGATATTTTTCATGCATTCTGTTGCAGAAGAAATTTACTAATTTAATATCAAGTATCTAAACAAACCTATAAAGATTAACGACTTCTAAAATGTTTTGTCCCTATGGATCTTTTATTAGTTATCACCCCTTAACACATCTTTTTTTGTTTTCATTTTATGCTCTGATTACAGACTTGGAAATGGATAGTGGGTCCCATGTTCTTGTATCTCTGTGAGAGGTTGGTACGGTTTTGGCGATCTCAACAGAAGGTGGTCATCACAAAGGTATTGGCTGGTTTGGGAATTATTAATAGTATCTAACAATATCATGGACAAACTTACCCAAGTTCTCTATTATATCATTAGCCGGAGCTGTCTTTCACTTGGTGTCTTTAGATTAAATGTAGGGCAGAGAGAAGACCTACAGTTTATTTCAATGTACTTAGCTTGATAATCAAATGGTTGGGCCTTTTAACTGAGGAAACTGGAAGTTAACATTTTCTGTCAAACAAAAGCCAGGTGTTTGTGTGCATGAATAGAGAGAGGGAGAATGCAAACATATATACATACATATTCCAAGAAATGGAAGCTCCTTGTTATAGTTTCAAGACACACCAGACTATTCTTACCAAATAAAATTCAATTCAATACAGTTCAAAGAGTACCAAAAGCTTACTATGGGTTACAAATTCCTCCTGTTTCCACGCTAGGTTTTCTTTCTTGGTACCTATGGAAGGTTATAATAAAGTTAGTCCAACTGGCATTAGAAATCTTGAAATACAGGAAGCTACAAAGTTCTCCTTTTATGATACTTACATTGTATTATAAGGAAAATGCCACAGATCAGCAAAAAAAGCTGCCACAAAATTTCCTTTACTATACTAAAACTGACTAACCAGACAAGCAATTCCCTTGAACATATTTCTAAAGCTAACTTGTTTTCCTATGAAGAAAATACTCATTTTCTTCTCATATAAATGCACATAAGAAACAAAGTGTTATCCAAAAGTATTCCAGTGACAATGCTATCCACTAGAACATTTTATTTAGTTCAATCCCAATTTTGCTTGTGGTAGCAAAATTACAATACAGTAAACATAATTTTCAAAAAATTTTTCAAACATTTTCATTTTCTGTTTTCAAATCTTTATTGCAGTGATGGTGGGAAGTTGATTACAGCATTATCATGCAAGATGTATTTACGACACAAGTTTTGGAAATGCTTGGCAATTTTTATTAAAAGGTTTTCCCATTCTATTCTTCCTCACCTGTGAAAAGAAAAGCTTAGCAATGTCAATCAACATTAGGAAGCTGCTGTCGTTTCTGTTGATTTTTCTTCCTTTGCTGTCCCTTGGTTTGTTTCTAGTTATATGTATAAAGTTCTTCTAGGTGTCTCAGGGATCATCAGAGAAATATTATATTACTTTCTGTATGGCAATGAGAGCTTTTTATTGTGTTCTTTATTTAAAATGATTTACCAACTCACCAGTTGATGGACATTTGGACTGTTTCCAATTTTTACTCTTATAAACAAAGCTATTATGAACATTTGTGTACATGTGGGATAAGGATGGCAATAGGTGGGTAGGGCCTGGTTCAGGGAGAGATGGGTGGTGTATTGCCCAGGTAGGGAGAAATGAAGAAATAATTCATGGACTGCAGCAGGCTTAAGGTGTGGCTCAGGACAAAGATATATCAGAACATTAGGCTTGGTTTGGGGGAATGTAGGTATACAACCAGCCAGTGGGGTCTCTTCTGTCCAGCTGCTACGGCTCTCGACCATTGCCTGGGGAGACAGGAAGGCTGAACAGGAAACCATCTCTTCTTTCTGTTTCTAGCATCTGCCTTGACTTCTTAGAGAAAAAAAAATCACAGTAGGCTGGTGTCTTAGGTTGGATTCCCTGGCAAAGACTCTGAGATGAAGAATAGCATGCAGAAGGTTTATTGGGGCGTGTTCTCAGGAGATCAATTGTAAAGAAAAGAAAGGCAGGATTGGTGAGAAGAAATAGCTGACCCTCAGTGTGGTTGCAACTGCAGCTTCAGCTGATCCCATGGGGCATGCTAGGGTCAGAATGGCCCCTTGGAGATGTCCCAAATTGAGGTCCTTGTATCCCTGCATCAGCTCATCATTGGCCAGGTGCTACAGCCAAGAGCAATTCCCAGTGGGAAACACATCTGCTAGAGCAACTGCTGTGTTGGCTCTGAAAAGGGGACCTTAGCTCAGCTGGGGCATCTTAGCTCCCCTTGTATCCACGTGGACACTGAAAAGGCAAGTACTTGGGGAAAGTAGTTGCCACAGAGATCTTTTGTTTCGTAGGTAGTCACTCACCCTTTCAAAACCATTGAGCTACAGATGAAGAAGAAGGGATTCAAGATGGAGGTGGGACAGTACATTTTTGTCAAGTGCCCCAAGGTGTCCAGGCTGGAGTGGCACCCTTTCACGCTGACCTCTGCCCCTGAGGAAGACTTCTTTAGCATCCATATCCGCATTGTTGGGGACTGGACAGAGGGACTATTCAATGCTTGTGGCTGTGACAAGCAGGAGTTTCAAGATGCCTGGAAACTACCTAAGTGAGTAGAAAGCACATATTACAAAGGTCTATGAGTTCAGGAAAAAGGTCACCAACTCTTCTTATCCCATTTCTCACTATGCTATCTCCTGAGTTTGATGAAACACACAGGTTGTACAAATGCAGGTAGCTATTTCTGGGCTCCCCATTTTAGGTATGTGGTATATATGCATATATTTATAAATCTTATGTGAAATATAAAATATTTGAGTCAAATATTGATAATGAATATCCCCAAATTCCTTTAAATATCTAAGGGTCAAGGCAAAGGTATATTGACTTTCTGAACCAGAAAAATTATGTATATCAAAGGTAGTCTTAAAATGTAGTTGGCATACACTGTTTGAAGGTAAATCCCGTATTATTATTCACTTTACCTCCTTCTTTTCACATGCCTCACATGGTGCCAGGCCTTTAGTAGATGCTGAAGACAAGTTTGTTGATTAACTCAATGAATAGTTATGAAAAGTGGAGATAATTGAATTTACAAGATACTGTGTTTTCTATGATGACATATAAAATTCTCACTTTACTTCATTATGCAGTGAAGCAGAAATTTCAATGCAGGGTACCCTAGCAAGAGATATATAGACTTGCATGTGTGTGTATGTGTGTGTTTGTGTCTAGTGGTGGGTGAAGGAGGTGGGGAGTTCAAAAAAAATCCATGAGAGTTATTAAATGTTTTCAGTCATCTAAAAAATTCCTTCCAACCCCAGTCTTGGCACCTAGTTGGTTTCTTGGAAGCTATTTCTTAGAGGAAAGTGTCCCAGAGATACCTTGTCCCAGTTTGAAGTAACATACTGCACACCTCCAGTAATAATGTGTGCCCCGTCCTCTGAAGAGCAAGACAGCTCTGTAACCATCTCGTCCCACACTTCCCTGCAGGATAGCTGTGGATGGACCCTTTGGCACAGCCAGTGAAGATGTGTTCAGTTACGAGGTGGTGATGTTAGTGGGAGCAGGAATCGGGGTCACACCTTTCGCATCTATTCTTAAGTCAGTCTGGTACAAATATTGCAATAACGCCACCAACCTGAGGCTCAAAAAGGTAGGTTCCTTCATTTCTCAGAGGTTTGGGAGAAGTCATCACGCCTGAGAGCCATGGGGCGGGGGGCAGAGGCTAGCAGAGAACCAGGATGAGAAGACACGTTCCTGGTGGTTCCAGAGGGGCAGGCTTCTGTTCACTGTGCCTCTATATAAGCAGACCTATTATTGAAAGTCATGCATTACTAGAAATTCAGTGAAAAGAAAGCTGGAAAGGAGAGAAAGCATTCACCACCCTAACCCAGTAGCTATCCATTTTGTATACTCAATTTTCAGTATTTGTGTACCTGTTTACATATCTTTAGAAAGCTGCAAATACTGAGTATGTGCAATTTCATGTTCTGCTTTTAAAAAACATACAGTGTTTTTCAGTGTTGTCATAGGCTTCATAATGATCATTTTTAATGATTTCTTCATGTTCCATTGGGGGGCTATAGAATAATTTTTCTGTCATCCTATGTTAGACATTGAGATTTGATTCCACTCCGGTCCCTCAATACCTTCTTGCAGAGTTGGGCAGGACACATGTCCTTTCATGAAATGTTTACTTTCATTCTGGTTATCTCCTCAGAATAAATTCCCAGGGGATTTTTTGTCACATGTAAATTTGGTTGCATTGCCTAATAAAGGACATCTTTAATAAAATGTGAGCCATTTGAATAATTGTAGAGATAACCTCTAACAGGCCCGTTGAGCTAACCTTGACTTTCACTCTCCCTTCCCCTCTTTTCTGGAGGAGGTGTGGGTAGAAGGAGGAACTCAGGAGTGTCTGGCAGTAGCAGGCAGGGAAATAGTGGGGTGGCAATCACTGCTAGTCTCCACCCCATTAGTCTCCCTGAGAGGAGGCATAAAGGAAGCCAGGGATTCCGGGAGCACAAAGGCAGACCCAGAAGGAAAGTAGGAGGTGGTGGGCTAATGTTTCTTATTTACTCCCTGCCAGTGTGAAGGCCAGAGCAGGTTCATAGGAGCTAACTCGTGAAATGTCCAGAGCTTTCTGCGAACGTCTGTTTTTAGGCATTTTGAGAAGCAGGAAGAAGTTGGGGAGGGAGTAGAAATCCGTATGTCAGTGCCGCCAAGGCCTATTTCAATGTAATCAACAACATGATCCGTCCTCCTTTCAGATATACTTCTACTGGCTGTGCCGGGACACACATGCCTTTGAGTGGTTTGCAGACTTGCTACAGCTGCTGGAGACCCAGATGCAGGAGAGGAACAATGCTGGCTTCCTCAGTTACAACATCCATCTCACCGGCTGGGATGAGTCTCAGGTGAGGACTCTCACATCTCATCCTTTGCAGAGCGCCCGGGGCTTACTGACTTGCCCTCTGGTTATTGGAATGTCTTGCATACTGTTTTTTACCAAGAACATTTGATGGATTCAGGTGATCCAGCCCATACACTCTCACTCAGTATCTCCATGTGTTCAGACTGGAGACTAGACTCAAAATTGCTATCTGCAGAACAGATATAAGCTAAGGAGCCTACAAGGGAATAAAAGCTATGACTTTGACCTTTTTTAGAGCAATGCTCCTACCAGGGGTCTCAAACCAGGTGAATAAGGTGATCCCCAGGTTCTCAGAAAATACTAGCTTTCTTTCTCTCTTTCTGTCTCTCTTTATACACATATACATATACACACACATACATACATATATATTCATATATATTCATGTTTTATAACATACACATTTAATAATTCGTAATAACTGCTAACAGTTATTAATCATATACTATGAGCCAGGCATTGTTCTTAGTGTTTACATAGATTATCTAATTCAGTCCTTGCAACAACCCTATGAAGTAGCTACTATTATGATCCACATGTACATATAAGGAAACCAGGGTCCAGAACAGGTTATGTCATTTGTCCAAGGACACCCAACTAGTAAAGTGGCAGAGTCAGAATGCTCCAGAGCCTGTGCTCTTAGCAACCCCCAGTAGTTCATGATTCTCATTTGTAAATAAATATATCTAAGGAAGGTGATGTATGTATATGTAATGTATACGTGTGTGTGTATCTGTGTAATATATATGTATATTAACCCCCTCCCTCCAAGGCTATTTAGCAATGAAAAAACATCCTAGAATTCACAAGACATATAGCCCCCCACAACAAAGAATGGCCTAAAAGGAGCATAAGCTGACCCCCTGAGTGAGGAGCTAGGTGAGAGTCTTTGCCCATTTCTGGCCACTGTCTCAGCTGGCCATATCCACGTATTGGCTCCTCAGTCTTGGGCATCTTTTACTTGTACCTTGTACTTGTGAAAACTGACTTCTCATTTGGGTTTTGGCATATTGCTTATCAGAGATTCTCTAAGTCTGAGAAGAGTTCTGTTGCAAATGTACATACAGGGACCCAAGACCATGAAAACTGGTGCTCCAGAAAACGTGGTTTCAGGATGCCACTTCTGAAATTTAAAACCAAACAACAAAATATACTTGATAAAAACAAAACCCAGGAAAAAACCTATAATATATAAATTGCTTTGCAGTTTTGTTATTTAAAGCCAGACACAGTTTTTAAATGGGAAATTTATGTGCTTTAAAAAATAAATATTTTCCTTGCAAAACTGGTCCCTGTAGAATTATTAAACCAGAGTAGCCACCCTTTTTAACCTCCTCTATCCGCATCATCCATCTACTATTCAGTGAATTTAAGGTTGGATTTAATTTTTAAATAAACTTAATTAACCACTTTTATGAAAAATATTTGTTGTTCAAACTGAAGCCCCCTAGAATGGTAGCAGAAAACGATATGTGACTGTTAGGCAGAAAAATAGATAATGAGCAGGGTGGAGAGAGAATAAGGCTTGTAAAGCCCACTAAAAGGCACTCAAAGAGTTAACCAGATAAAACTAGAGAGCCAGAAAAGACTCACAGAGTAAATGAGTTAATCAGTTGAAGCCCCAAGGGCCAGGAGTAACTTGGATTGTCCAGATATTCCCCAGATAAAGAAAAGTATCCCAGTGCAGCCCATGTCTTCATTGTGTCAATTAAATCATGCCATTGTAAGATTTACTTTAGCCTGCTAAAAGGCCCAGCTTATTCTTTAGCCTAACCTATATGCTGTTTTTGGTCCATGAGAGACAGAGAAGGAAGGGAAGGATTCCTAGAGAAGAAGTAAACAGTGAGGGAGGGAGTGCCTCCAGCCAGAGGGCGAGGCACATGCGGCTTATCGGGAATGGAAATACATCCGAGTCACCACACCAAATATGTTGGGGGGGGCATTGTTTATTTTCCTTGGTTCTTGTCCCTGCTCAATAAAGAACTGAAGGGCAGAGACACAGTAGTGAAGCAGAGTAAAAGTTTTATTTATTCACTTAAAAAAGAGAGAAAGTACGGGCAACCTCAGAGAGAGGCACACCCTGAAATGTTCAAGTTTATTTAAAGAGAAAGTGCAAGCAACCTCAGAGAGAGGCACCCTGAAAGGTTGAGAAAAAGTTTATTTAAGGCAAAAAGGTGCACACTAGGAGAAAGGGAAGTGTGGGCTACCTCAGAGAAGACACATGCTGAAAGATTAGGGGTTCCCCCTTTTTAAGTATTTTTCAGGAATGTGACTAAGGCCTAGGGGGTGTAGACTTGTTAAATGGTTTCAAGATGTTTATTTTTGATGAGAGACATTATGTCTCTTCTATTATTAGTCCTCCAGGTAATTCTGCAAAATTAGCTTAACACAAGAAATTTACTGATCCGGTTCCTCCCTAGAATAGCTTCCCTCTGGGAATATGTCAATCAAGGCCACCTGCCCTGCCCCCAAGGTGGACTGAGTTATTGTCTGCTTGCCAAAGAATATGTTAAGAATCTTACTTCTTCACTTCCTGGGTTTTAAAATGCAATCTTAGCTTTAAGATGGAATCTTTCCTGTTTTTGCTATGCTGTTTATATCTGGGCTTGTTTGCTAAATTAATCATGATGCTTGTCTCCTGCCCAGGTTGCAGATTATGGGCTGGAAGAGGAAAAAAACAGCATAGAGGTTAAATTAAAGAATAAACTGGGACTCTTAGCAAGCTAAAGTGAATCTTACAATGGCATGATCTAATTGACACAATGAAGACATGGGCTGTCCTGGAGTATTTTTGTTTATCCGGGGAATATCTGGACATTCCAAGTTACTCCTGGCCTTTGGAGCTTCAACTGATCAATTCATTAACTCTGAGTCTTTTCTGGCTCTCTAGTTTTATCTGGTTAACTCTTTGAGTCCCTTTTAGTGGGCTTTACAGGCTTATTCTCTCTCCACCCTGTTCATTATCTATTTTCTTGCCTAACATGACTATGTCCTCCACCCCACATGCACATAACAGTAGCTTTAGGCTTAGTTTGATGTCTCATTATGTTACCAAACTTTGAATGTATTTGAATTATTATTTTTTTAATTCTCACTGATTCTCCCAAAAGGAGTGGGGTTTTATTAGGGTGAGGAGAGAAAGTCAGATGCAGAACAGAGAGAAATACAGTGAGACAGAGAATCTGAATCCTACGCACACTTCATTCAAAGCCTGGCATAAATGTTGAAACCTTCCCATAACCTCCACCCGCCTCTCTTCTTTGTTCTCATTGAGCTATGTGCCTCTTCCACGATACTCATCATACTGTATTCTACAAAATGGGATTTTTTGTATTTATATGTCAAGGTCTGCCATTCTAAATTGGTAATTACCTGAGGAGACCTAGTTCGTTCATATTTTTTTTACCTTCTAGCCTTAGCATGGTGCCGTGCCCTATATATGCATGGTTTAGAATGGGTAGTGAGAGCTTGTTTATGAGATGTGTGAATTTACCTGTGTGGTTTTTTTTATAGCATCTCTTTTTTTCTGAATCCATGTCCTTTCCTGCAGGCTGATCACTTTGCTGTGCACCATGATGAGGAGAAAGATGTGATCACAGGCCTGAAACAAAAGACCTTGTATGGACGGCCCAACTGGGATAATGAGTTCAAGACAATTGCAAGTCAACACCCAAAGTAAGGAGTCCCCCACGTTTGTGTTCTTGAGGCTGTGATCTGCCTAAAGCAGCAGCTTCCAAACATGGCTAGGTTTATATATCCTGGAAACTAAAATGCCTAGATTGCTATATTCACAGCCAATAGAAGGTTCTAGATATTTCATGAGTTTAAGAGGTAGTCTTTAAATCACACCAAAATTATCTGGAGAATCATTCTAAACAGACTCCCAGAACCGCACCTCAGACTTAACTGCACCCTATTCCTCCCAAATAGGGCCATAACTCACTCTTTTCTTTTGTCTCCCAAATCTCACTAGTGTATATACTTCTTTTAATTCAATACAATTTATACATATTAGTAAGGAGACACTGTCCCCACTTTCAGTTCTAGCTTTTGGGTCTAAAATCATAAGTTGAGATACATCCAGGGTCCTTTCTGTCCTCACTAAAGCTTTAGCTATCCTGGAGCTCTGAGGGAATTCTCTATCTCTAAAACACCTGATAAATTCAAGAAATCACCGTAAATGCATCCATTAGGCCATTGTGTTTTACAATTTAATGCGCATATATATCACTTGGGGATCTTTTAAAGATAGAGGCTGATTTAGTGGATATGGGGTGGGACCCAATAATCTGCATTCTTAAAAAGCTGACTCTGAGGTTACAGGCCTGGAATCACACCTTGAGGAACAAGGCCTTAGAGTCTGAAATGTAGGGGGATGAAGCTACACCAACCTATTGGCAGTATTGTTCCTAAGCAGATTTGGTCAAGATACTGGAGACGGTGGTCTGGGGACACAGAGCCCTAAAGGGAAGTAGTCCAGAAACACCAGTTCACTACAATTTTCTCTGTGGTAGAAGTTTCCATGAACTCTGCTTAAATGTCATTTGCCAGGGAAGTCACCTTTTGAAGTATCCTGCCCTCATGAGCAGGGCTGAGCCGCTCTCAGGCAGGGCAATCTGAACGCAACCATTTGTGGAAAACAAAGGAGCAGAGGGAACTGTGCCCTTGGAACTAAAATCAATAGAAAATCCCCCCATGTGCTTTGTAGTTTATCTCATCCCAGCATCTAAATTATCCTTTTTTTCCTTTCTTTCCCAAAAGTACCAGAATAGGAGTTTTCCTCTGTGGACCTGAATCCTTGGCTGAAACTCTCAGTAAACAGAGCATCTCCAACTCAGAGTCTGGCCCTCGGGGAGTGCATTTCATTTTCAATAAGGAAAACTTCTAACTGGTCTCTTCCATGAGGACATAAATGTGGGTTATGCTGCCATATACCCAACCAAATAATCCTAGTTGATAATGTAAGTTCCCCCCTTTTAAAAAAAGGAGAAAATGAACCTATAATGCAGAGGTTTTCCCTGAAAGGAATCAAAGATTGTTTGATAGTGATAATTTGCATTTGTATGGGGCTTTATGATATTCAGAGTGCTTTTACGGAACATTTCATTTTTTCCTCACGGTAATGCCAGAGAAAGGTAGGGCAAGATTTCCTGGGCTCTGTTTTTAAGATAAAAAATGGGGACTCAAAATGGTAAAGTAACACCCCTAAGATTATGAAGCTGAGACCAGATCTAGGCCATGTGACTCCAGGTTTGGTAGTTTTCCCATGGTGTCAGGCTGCCTGAAAATCAGTTTGTATTCTTCCCAGAAGCAAACCAGAGAGTAGCTATTCATTTTCCATTTTGTGTCATCTTGGTTATCATTATGGTCATATTGAAAGGAATTTGCCAAATATTTAGGCGATAATATATGGTGAGAATGAGTCAACACTTAGAGTAACAGGACTGACATCTGAGCATACTCCAGTTTACCAGTACAGCTTACTAGTTGGGTCACAGATTCTTCCTACAAAATATATTAGACTAGCTGGAATTAATGTATCACTCAGCATTTACAGTGATGCTGGACAGAGAGTGGATACTCAGTGAAAGTTTGTTGAGTGAATGAATGAATGAATAAAAAGATATTTAGAAACATACAATGCCTAAAGAGCTAACTAATTTAAAGCCTTGAACAGAATCTACTGAAGTGACTTCTGTTACTTGTAGAGACCAAAGGAATCTGATTCTCCAGCCAGGAGAGAATAGCCTGAGGATATTAACCAATGAGATGCCCTGCAGCTCCCCTCACATTTTTAACTGAAGCAGGAGGAAAGGGAGCTGGAGGCAGAGAATTGGCCTCATCCCATAACTCTGGCTGGCTCCTCTGGTTCTGCTTCCTGTGCTATGGAAGAAATGCAAACTGGTTTACTGCCTGAAAGGGTCTTCTCCAGCCAGCACTTGTGAATTGGAAATTAAGAACTGTGACAAATATGTGTCTGATATGCCCATCTGCTTTAAATAGCATCCACCCCTTGTTTTGCTTAAATATACACACAAAATGGCTCTTTGTGTGACTAACGGTTATTGTTATCATCATCGTCAGCATGAAATTTACACCCTGGAAACTAAAATCACCAGCTTACTGTGTAGCTATTGAATTCACACCCAATGGAATGTTCCAGATATCTGTAAGTTCAAGAGAGAGTCTCTAAATCACTGCTAGTATGATCAGAAACATGTTTTTTTAGAACTGCTTTTATTTCTGGAATCTAAAAACAGCTTTATTGGCTCTACCTTCTGGAGCCACAGATATTTAGAACTTTTCAACTTTGGTAATGAGAAAGAAAGAAAAGAAAGCAGGGGGAAGGGTAGAAAACTGGGTCAAGCAGGCAGGGGAGGGAAGGCAGAAAGAAGAGAAGGAGGGTGAGAAAAACATCAAAGGCCAAAGGGAAGGATGGAGGGATGGGTCCTCATTGGTTACTTTCTGCCCCAGAGTTCTTAGTATTCGGTGTATTATATGTAACTGAAGGAGGCTTACACATACTCATTTTTTTGGATTACATATGGTAGTCAATCTGAAATTCTGGCCATATTTTGATGCTGAGTGGGCATATCAGGGGATGGGATGAACTTGCAAGAACTCAGTTGTTTCTTTGGGCTCCCAGAATGCCCAGGGCAATATGGGTAGGTCCTGACAAGTCAGACTTACTGTGGGAATGTCACCTCCCCAAAATGTCCCAGGAAGGTTTCTGCTTAGAGAAACTTAGATAGATCCTACTGACACTGCACCTCGGGAATCCATTCATTCATTCACCAAATTTTTATTGAGCTGTTACTATGACTCAGACTGTGTATTCATGCTTTCAGTTCTTTACACCAAAGTGTGAGCAAGAGGGAAACACAGTATAAGGACACTTGGGAATCTTGACCCTCTCTAACCTATGTGGCATAAGAAAACCCAAAACTACATTTGATGCTCTGAAAATGTTTCTCCAGGGTTTTCTACCTTTGACACCAACATAGTTACTAACACAGAGAGATCTGCCCTGTGTTATCCTGGTTATGAGATGAAAAATGAGTGTAAAAGTGATTGTCATAAGAGCTTCCTGCTTCTTTCTTTTCCCATGCTGTCAGCAGCCAGCACAGCTTTATTAGCATTTAGTATTTAGCATTGAGCTGAGAGAATGATTGAGCATTGTTTTTAATCTCAAGGCTATGAAGGCTTTTCTTAGTTTTCTTGCTTTTACAATATTGCATTTATGACATTTGAATACTCATTGGTGTTGTATGTGAATAGTTTTGGGGGGCCTGAGAGATAATTCCTAGACTGAACTATTCAAACTGTTCAACTATTAAAATTAATGAATTCTCCTAGTGTCTGTGTCTGTGTTATTGTTCTTGGTATTAAATGGTAGATTCAGATAGCAAAGATTTTCTCTGCCCCAGTGAGGTTGAGATGCTCTGTGTTTTTGTATATGACATGTCAAACACTGCACGACTTATGGACTGAAGAGAAAACAATACTGAGTTCTATGCTAATGTCCTAGTGACTGTCACAGCACTGGTATAAGAGACAAGGGCGTGTCACCTCATGTCATGGACAGAATTTCAAAAGCAAGGAAACCCGAGTACAAGACCCCTTTTATTCATTTCCATTCATCCCTTAGGTCCTAACTGCAATTGGATGTCATGCAGTCAGATTGGGGTTATATATATGCTCATGATTCTGTGTTGGTCATTGTTCTAAATGAGTCATCCAGCTATGATCCCCACTCTCTAGGAAATGTATAGAGGCGTGTGCATGTTTCTGTAGGTGTCAGCAAATGCTGTCATAGTGGAAAGGACATTACCCAAAACAAATGTCAGTAATAGAAATAGCTAACATTCAGTAAACACCTTCAACTACCCAAGCATTTTACATATGACTAATCCCTCAGGACACTGCAAAGTGGCCATTTTATCCTGATTTTCTTAGTAAAAACCTGAGGCTGAGAGAGGATAAATGATAGGTACAAACTACCTCACAACTACTAGGTGTCAACATTAAATCCACATCTCTCCAGCAAGAAAGTTCATGTTCTTTTTACTATATGAGTAGATAGACGAGGTCTAAGTAATCATTTGCAAAGTTATCACGCTAAGTACAAATTATGCACTACAAACAACTGGCTAACGGTGGTATAAACCTGTGGTTGATGCCATCTGTGTATCTTGGAATCTTTGTTTAGAAATACATGCTAATGTATTTAGCACAATACATGCTAATTTTTACTTTTATTTATTTTAATTTTTTTCAGCTTTATTAAGGTATAATTGACAAAATTATAAGATATTTAAAGCATACAATGTGATGATTTGCCAAATAATGTTTTCACAAAAAACAAATTCCACCTGTATAACCACAATGCAGTGAACCAATTCAAGAAATTTAACACGGATACAAAACTATCATATACATATACTATATATGGTCCATGAGTAGGTGACATTGTATCCTCAGTGCATTGTATTAGAAGGTAGGTATTGTCACTTGTCCTATTATTGGCAGTAACAGTTTGATCACCAGATTTCTGTATTATAAATGGGAAGGTATTTTATTTTTGTAACTAGTAAGTAGCATTTGGGGAATACTAGTGACCTTATAAATACCATTTTCTTCAATACTCTTTCATCCAGCCCTTTTAGTATAATTGGTTATTTTTCACTGAATCAATTTTTATAGTGATGGTTGTAATATCTGGATTCTTAAACCTCAATAATCTGCCAATTTATTTTATTGTCCCCCAAGATTTATTGAGGTGTAATTGATGTATAGCATTGTGTAAGTTTATGATGTACAATGTTGATTTGATACATTTACATATTGCAAAATATTTACCACCATAACATTAGCTAACACCTCCATTCTGTCACATAATTACCATGCTTTGTGGTAAGAATGATAAACATTTAAGAGTTACTCTCTTAGCAACATTAAATATATAATACAGTATTATTAACTATAATTATCATGCTGTACATTAGATCCCCAGAACTTGTGCACTTTCTAGAAGTTTATAACCTTTGACTACTATCTCCCCATTTCCCCCACACCTCAGCCCTTCTCTGTTTCTCTGACTTTAGCTTTTTGGATTTGACATGCAAGTGATATCATACAAATACTGTATTTGTCTTTCTCTGTCTTATTTCACTTAGCATAATGCCCTCAAGTTCATCGAAGCTGTTTGTAAATGGCAGAATTTTCTCTTTTCTCGTGGGTGAATAATATTCCTGTGGGGTATGTGTGTATCACATCTTCTTTATCCATTCATCCATTGATGGACACTTAGGTTATTTCCATATCTTGCCTATTGTGAATAATGCTGCAATGGACATGGAGGTGCAAATATCTTTATGAGATACTGATTTCAATTCCATCAGATATATACCCAGAAGTGGGATGGCTGAATCTTATGGTATTTCTAGTTTTAATGTTTTGAGACACCTCCATACTATTTTCCATAGTGACTGCACCAATTTACAATCCTGCCAATAGGATGCCAACAGTGCATGAGAGGTCATCTTTCTCTACATCCTCAACAACACTTGTTATTTCTTCTTTTTGATGCTAGCCATTCTGACTGATGTGAGGTGATATCTCATAGTAGTTTGGATTTGCATTTCCCTGATGATTAGTGATTTTGAGTATCTTTTCAAGTACCGGTTGGCTAATTGTATTTCTTCTTTGGAAAACTCTCTTATTAGTTCCTCTGCCCATTTGTTAGTCAGATTGTTTTTGTGCTATTAAGTTGTATGGGTTCTTTATATATTTTGGGTATTAACCCCTTATCCTATGTATAATTTACAAATATTTCCCCCCCATTCAATAGGTTGCCTTTTCATTTTGTTGTCTCGTTTGCTGTGCAAAAGCTTTTTAGTTTGATATAATCCCACTGATTAATTTTTGCTTTTGTTGGTTATGGCTTTGGTAACATATTCAGAAAACTTCCACTATCAAGGAGCTTTTTCTCTATATTTTCTTCTAGAAGTCTTACGGTTTCAAGTCCTATGTTTAAGTCTTTTATCCATTTCAAGTTCATTTGTGTGAGTGGTGTAAGATAGGGGTTCAAGTTCATTCTTCTGCATGTGGTACCCACTTTTCTCAGCACCATTTATTGAAGAGACTATTCTATCCCCCATTAAGTATTCTTGGCTCTTTTGTCAAATATTTATTGAGTATATATTCAGGGTTTATTCCTGGGCTCTCAGTTCTCTTCCATTGATCTGTGTGCCTGTTTTGATTTCTATAGCTGTATACTATAGTCTGAAATCAGGAAGTGTGATGTCTCTGGATTCGTTCTTCTTTGTAGGGATTGCTTTGGCTATTTGGGGTCTTTTGGGGCTTCATGTGAATTTAAGATTGTTTTTTCTTTTCTTGTGAAAAACAATTGGAATTTTGATAGAGATTGCATTGAATCTGTAGGTGGCTTCAGGTAATAAGGACATTTTAACTTTAATTTTAATATGAATTCTGATTCACAACATGGGATATCTTTCCATTTGTTTTTGTCTTATTCAATTTCTTTCATCAAAGTCATCATTTTTAGTGTACAAATCTTTCTCTTTGGTTAAATTTATTCCTAAATCTCTTATTGTTTTTGACGCTGGTGTGAGTGGGATTATTTTATTTCTTTTCAGATATTTTGTTATTAGCATATAGAAACACAATTGTTTTCTGGATGTTGATTTTGTATCCTGCAACTTCACTGAATTCATTGATTAGATCTAGCAGTTTTTTTGGTGGAGTCTTGAGAGAACTCTGTAAGGTCATATCATCTACAAACAAAAACAATGTCACTCCTTCCTTCATTACTTGAATACCTTTTATTTCTTCCCCTTGCCTGATTGCTGTGGCTAGGACTTCCAGTACAATGTTGAATAGGAGTGGTGAGAGTGGGCACTGTTGTCTTGTTCCAGATCTTAGAGGAAAGGCTTTCAACATTTCACTATTGAATATAATGTTAGCTGCAGGCTTGTCATATATGACCTTTGTTGTATTTGGGTTATGTTCCTTTTATGCCCAATTTGCTGAGCATTTTTATTACAAATGATGTATTTTGTCAAATTCCTTTTCTGCATCTACTGAGATGATCAAATAATGTTTATCTTTCTATTAATGTGGTGTATCACATTAACTGATTTATGTGTATTGAACTGTCCTTGGTTCAAATCTCACTTTATCATGTTGTGTGATCCTTGTAATGTGCTGTTGAATTTGGTTTGCTAGTATTTTACAGAGAATTTTTATATCTATATTCATCAGGGATATCATCCTGTAGTTTTCTTTTAGTGTCCATATCTGACTGTGATATCAGGGTACTGCTGGCTTCATAAAATGAGTTTGGGGATGTTCCCTCCTCTTATATTTTTGGAAGCATTCGGGAGGATTGGCATTCATTATTCTTTAAATGTTTGGTCAAATTCATCAGTGAAACCATTGTTTTAGGAAGTTTTTCATTACTGCTTCAATCTCCTTACTCTTTCTGTCTCTTCAGATTTTCTATTTCTTCATGATTCAGTCTTGGTAGGTTATGTGTTTCTAGGTATTTATCCATTTCTTCTAGGTTATCCAGTTTATTAGCATATAATTGTTCATAGTATTCTCTCATGATCCTTTGTATTTCCATGGTATTGGTTATAATGTCTGCTCGGTCATTTCCAATTTTATTTATTTAAGTCCTCTCTTTTTCTGAGTTAGTCTAGCTAAAGGTTTGTCAATTTTGTTTGTCTCTACAAAAATACCAGCTCTTAGTTTTGTTGATCTTTTCTATTATTTTTCTGGTCTCTATTTCATTTATTTCTGCTCTGCTCTTTTTTATTTATTTCATTCTGCTAAATTTGGGCTTAGTTTCTTCTACTTTTCCTAGTTTCCTGAGGTACGAAGTGAAGTTGTTTGTTTAAGTTGCTTCTTAATGTAGGCATTTATTGCTTTAAACTCTAATAGAACTACTTTTGCAGCATCTCATGGGTTTTGACATGTGCTTCCATTTTTGTTTGTTTAGAGATATTTCTTCATTTACCTTTGATTTCTTCTTTTACCCATTGGTTACTCAGGGGCATGTTGTTTAATCTGCACATAATTGTGAATTTTCCAGTTTCCCCTGTTGCTGATTTCTAGTTTCATACCATTGTGGTCAGAAAAGATACTTATGATTTCAGTCTTGTAATACTTGCTCAGATTTGTTTTCTGACCTATCATTTGATCTACCTTGGAGTGTGTTCTGTGTGCACTTAAGAGGAATATATAGTCTGCTGCTCTTGGATGCATGTTCCCTATATGTCTGTTATTTCCATTTTGTCTACAGTATGGTTCAAGTTCAATGTTTCTACATTGAC